AGTTTGCTTGCAGGGCTTTTGGAGGCTTCTCTGAGGAAATGGAAAGAGGGCCCTAGTAGTTACAAACCAGGACTCTGTAGTTGTACTGTCTCCGGTCTCCAGCTGTCCCACTGGGTGACTATTGGCCAGGCCACTCCACTTCGAGTCCCATGCATGTATGCATGAGGACAACCTCATCCACTCTGCCGAGCTTTAGTGAGGCACTTTCTCAGCAGAGTTTGAAGGGTGAAAAGCACCGAATTTGTCATCTAGGGAGCACTCAGCACTGGGTAGTTCTGCATGGCTTCCCTGCCCTGCTGGAACATGGTCTGGGTAGATGAGGCCTGGCCTCATTCTCTAGAAGCGTGTGGCACTGGGGTGGTGTTAAGCCTCCCTCATCTCTCTCAATAGTACCCTGTCTCTGATAGCCCTGTGCCTATAGCTATAGTTCTGAACGCTTTCTTCTTAGTGCCCAGCATCAGATCCCCAAAGTCCCTTCTTCTGTGACTCCTCTTAGTGGCCTTCAGCTTTTCCTGGCTGCTGGCCCAGAGTTTACATCCTCTGACTCACTTCCCTCCAGGCACAACTTAAACCTTTCTTTCCTCCCATAGGACTATACTTTTGCCAGACCCTGTTTATTTCACGTCCTGGGGCACAGGGCTTCAGACCTCAGGGCCCCAGACCCTACTTCCTCCATTTCCTATCACTGTAAGCGTGGGCAAAGGCTGTCACTTCTCCAATCACTGCTTAGTAGAAGGTATACTCTTAGTATGTGTGCAACCATGAGCAGATCATTTCTTATCTGAACCTCCATTTCCTCATCTATAAAATAAGGGTGATAATAGTTGTTGCACTTGGGGTTGTAAGGGTTAGATGACTCATAGGAAAAACTTAGTACCTACAAGTGTCCAGATTATCGATTTTTAATAAAACCAATCCCATCCCTCAGAGTTGCTCTATGTGTATGACAGGTTCATGTAGTCTCCAAACCTGCTGCTTAGCAACGCTTCTGTTGTGGTTCTGCGTTGCCTCACAGTCACTCTACCCTGTGTGTGCTCCTCAGGATGAAAATAAGTAAATAAATAAAATAAACAAAAATATAAAAGGTTGCCTCTTCCAGTTCAGTGGCTTCACCAATCACCCACACACCCTCAACTGAACCTCTGTCCCTTTTCCTCCCCAGACTCGGTAGTAAAAATTGGGGTCTCGAGGCTGGAGATATGGCTTAGTAATTAAGAATACTGGCTCTTCGTCTAAAGGATCCAGGTTCGAGTCCCTGTACAAACACACAGTGACTCACCACTGTCTGTAACTCTGAATCCAGGGGAATCTATGAATCTGCCAGCCTTCTTGGGCACTGTATTAGCATAGTGTGTTGATATAATGGCAGATAAAAGGTCATAGATATTAATTGTTGGAGGTTTCTTGTTAAATTTTTTCACATTGTATATTTTAATCATGTTCTTTCTCCTCTCCCAGATCCTCCTCACATCCCTATCTTTTCTTTCTTTCTTTCTTTTTAAACATGGTAACCTTACTGAATGGTTTGATCTCTCTGACCCTAGCACATATTGTACTGATGTCCATATTACAAGGTGCAGCTCAAATACAGCCTCACTGTCATCAAATGTTGTCACCAAGTAGGAAACAATCCATTGTGGGGCGATGATGGATGGAGCACTGGGGTAGAACCAGTTGGAGGAACTAGAAAGTGTCTGGGTTTTGTGCAGATATTTTCTCCCGAATCTATGGCATGGCACTTCAGCTGTGATGAGGTAGGGCTCACTGGCTGTGCCTAATTAGAACAGAACATTCCAATCGCTAAGCAACCATGCAGGGGAAGAGGATTGGAAGCCATTTCAGGACACGGGACTGGGAGGGACATAAGACAAAATGTCAGTCCAGTAAACAGCGTGTGTGCAGTGGGGAGGAGGGTGGGCCACGCTCCCTGGAGTAGGAAATTACTACTCCAAGGGTTTTAGGGTCTCTAAACCCATGAGGATTTATGGATTCATAATTCTAAGCTATATACTTTAAAACCAAGGATATTGGGATTCCAAGGACTTTAAATCCTTATAACCTACGGGAGAAGAAGAACTTGAGCAAATTATTAAATGCTCAGAGCTTAGGACCCAAAACAAGGATTTTAGATGAAACATCAGACATGTTAAAATACTAATTAATCCCCTTTCAGTTTCAAACCATTCTTGACTTATACCCTTGGGATAGTGTTTCCAAATTGTCTTCCCCCACAGTCTGGGGATCCTTGAAGGTATTTTCAAAAGAGAGTGGAGAGAGCTTGCTTACAAGGGAGAGTACAAGAGGGATTCTGCCCACCCCCTGTACCCCATAGTTCAATTTTTGGGTTCCCTGGGGCAGTTAAACTTTTATCTGATTTACTTGTTAGACTTCCACATTCAATTCAAAAGAAATTATTTCCTGCTAAAGACTGTCAAGTTTTAAAACCTCTGTCCCAGGACAAAGGAACATAAAGTCTAGGGACCATTAGAATATAGAGAGGCCCAGCAAGCCACAGTAGGCCTCTCTTGTGTTTTAATTATTTATCAACACTGTAAGCTTTTCTTTGACTGGTAAACCATCAAATGATGACAAAGATTAACCAAAGAGGCCTCAGACATACTCATTAGTTAAATAAGTCAGTCAGGATCACACGCAAGCTTGGAAGGACATTTCCTTTAGCCTATCAATACTTCCAAGTTCAGATGTTAACACTATGGTGACTGCTGTCTTGTGAGCAGTCATCCTCTGTGCCAGGGCCTGTGCTGTTTTCTTTCTTCCATCTCGCTGGAATCAGCACAGTCAGCCACCTTGACAACAACTGTCACCAGTATCCTCATGACAGGGATAAAGAGACTAGAGCTCAGGGTGGATAAGTAACTCACCCAAGGTCATGCATCTGGCTCCTGGGAGATTCCATTTCGCTTACCAGAAGAAACAGAATGGACTGAAGGAATTTAAAGAGGTCAAAGGTCAATTACCTGATAGCCTTCTTCCCAGACCAAGGTTCAATTTTAACCCATAGATGGCCCCAGTGCCTGAGTGTGATGGCCTATTCCAGCATGTCCACTCCTTTTAGGGAAGTCCCTGCTTGGGCTCAGAGCTGAAGCCACAGGGAAGGGAAAGGAAAAGAGCCACCATTTTGCTTTTCAATAAGATGCCCTTAGTGTTTCCCTCCATACTTAAGAGAATGAGCTATTGGATCAGTGCTTCTCCCAAGAGCCACTTTGAGAACAACAGGGCGGGGGGAGGGATTCCTTTATGATTTTCTGAGCCCTCTTTTGCACAGCATGCTAGGCTCGGAAGAAGTTGCATGGGATATCAATTATAGGGAAGGAGAAGGCAGATGTTTTCATAGATGAGACAGTGGGTGTGCAAGGTTATCCAGCCTGAAAATGCTCCCCATAGAAGGGTAGTGTGAGGTGCCTCTATTGAATGAATGAGAGTTTGAAGAGCCTGTAAGAGTCGAAAGTCATCTCGGGCAGGCATTTAAAACCACGGGGGAGTTAGAAAGTATGCTACATTCAAGGACAAGCAAAACAAATTTTAAGGGTAGAGAGATGAATCTGAAAAGACCAGCAGAAATCGGTGGCTAGCAGCAGACATTGTGGTATACACATGTAGTCTCAGTGAGAGTTAAGGCAAGAGGATTGCTGTGAGTCTGTGTCCAGCCTGGGCTGCATAGTGCCAGAACAGCCAGGGCTACAAAACAAGACCATGTCTCAAAAACAAAACAAAAAACAAAAAACAAAAAGCAGTAAACACAAAAGCAGATGACTAAAAACCCAGACCACCACAGTAAACACCTGATTTGTGAAGGTACAGCATGGGATGTCTGTATCCAAGCAAGCACGTACTTTTCCTAAGGAAAGAAGTCACAATGCCTCATGGTCATCTGTGACACCCCTCTTTCAAAAAACTAACAAACCGTAAACCATATGTCTAGTCGTTGGTGAGTCAAGGCCATGACCTTATTCGGTGGCCAGTGTGTAGACAGATTGTGAAACAAAGTGCTGAAAGTAAGACCAAGTGTTGATGGATAATTGGGACAGGAGTTAACATAGCTCGAGCTATGGCAGATACTCAGGGAACCAAAGAGATACAATTGACAGGAGTTACTGGGGGCTTAGGTGTCCCTCCTCATATCAAACAACAGTCTCCAAGAGTTTCGTGACAAAACACATCTTACTTTTTACCCAAGTCCACATTCTCTAGCTATAACTCTTAAGCTGTGTGTGGCGGGGCCCCCCCCCCCGGGGCCCTTTTTCTTCCTTTTCTAAGCTGCCCTTGAAGTTTAATCAAGCTTGATTTCACAAGTGAACAGAAAGGGCCTGATCAAGAGGCTCTGACCCCAGCATTATATTCTCAGAGGAGAAAAATCTGTCAGCTGACCTGAGGTAGAGGTAGAGCAATGAGTTGGCCTTGGGTTGGTCTCTGACCCTCCGCCTATGGCTTCACAACATGGGCAGAGTTCAGTTAAGAAATCAGCACAATTCCAAGAAAAAGGCAAACATCATTCCATTTATTTATCTCCTGACTCATCTTAGGCCAATACCCAGACTAACTGAATAGCAGAAAAGTGGGATGCAGGTCCCCAGATAAGCAGATTCTTCAGATTCCTTTTCCTTTCCTTTCCCTCCCCTTCCCTCCCCTTTCCTTCCCTTCCTTCAATCCAGGTGCCTTAGCATTGCTTGTAACTGGTGTTGGTGTCTTTGAAAACTCAAAAGGCCCTGAGGAGTGACTGCTCTCTTGTACAAGGGCATCCTTCCTGCTCTACTTCATGAGGGCTTCAGAAATCAAGCCTTCGATATTCCCTTCCAGGCCTGAGGAACCTCCTACTATTGGCACAAGAGCAGCCCTAGCCAAGAGCATGCCAGAGGCCTAGACTTGCCGGCCAATCAGGAAAGCCAGGGTGAGCTAGACAGCCTGAGGACACTGGTTTCAATTCAGAAGAGCTGTGTCTGGAGACTCTTTGCTAATCAATGCCCTTGGAAACCTGCCAAGCATAACTGGGATTGCTTCAATTTGGACAGGTTGAGTGTGGGTCAGGGGAATGAGCTGTGGCCTTGTATGGTGCAGCCGCAGGTGCCCCCATACACCCTTCTGGTTCACTTTCAATGAAGTATTCCTCTTCCTCATCTTCCTCATCCTCCTTGTCTTCTTCATCGTATTCACTGTTGGAATCTTCATATAAGTTGATGGTGGCCTGGACAGGGAAGTTGTGCAGTAATATCTCCCCAGCACTGTACAGGTAGTCAAAGGAGCGGGACCTAGGCCAGTAGAGCCTGTAAACAGTAGAGAAGAAACAGAGCACCTAACTTAAGGCAACTCTCAAATGCAGAGGGGTGAATAGGGCCAAGAAGGAAGCCAACCCATAAAGCCAGTCGCTAGCTGCCGTGAAGGAAGAAGGAGCTTTGGCACAGAACCTTTACCACTGTTACAAAATGGTTCCAGGAAGGAACATCTCCTCTGACAGGCCTACCACACTGAGGTAGAGGGTAAGTCACCCCAGAGCCTCTCAACTCTAGTGCCAGTCTCGCTAATCACCCCATCACTCCAGTACTTCTTTTCCTATTAAGGAATCTTTTATTGGTTGGAGTCACAGGATTTCATTCTTAAAGCTCAGTGACAGAGAGGGCTTCTGGGGAAAATCACTTTGGCCTATTAAGTCGCATGGCCTCTTTCCTCCTGCGTCACGGCCTTGTCATGAACATTCACAGTGCTTGTGGCTATTTGTCACAGTCTGAGCTTGAATGCCAGAAGCTTACCTGACAGGGTGATGGAACTCAGAGTCAGCCTTGGTGGCCTCAGCAGTTGTTGTCCCACCAGCAGCCTGTCCAAAGCAAAAGCATGTGACTTAACTGCCTCTCCCATATCAAAGGTCAGAGACCTGCAGGTTTTGATGATCTCCAAAATACTTTAGGCACCCCTTGGAATCCAGCCACCTCCCAGCCCTGCCCTACAGCAAGGGGATCTGTTTTTGATCTGGTTGAAAACAAGTCGAAAGAGTCCTGAGGGTTGGTTTTTTTTTTTTCCTGACCCTGTTTCAGTGCCCATTTGGAGGCTGTCCAGGGGAGCAGAGTTCTCTTAGACTACGAAACATTCAGGGAGAAAAGAGATCTCTGAGGCAAGGTACCAAAGGACCTAGATCCCAGAACCAGCTCCCCAATACAATGACTGTGAGTCCAGCCCAGGTCCCTCACCCACTCTATGCTTTGATCTCCTAGTCTTGTTTGTCATGGAAACCTTGGCCCTGCCTTCCTCCCAGAGCTACTGTTGGGATAAAATGTTAGCAGAGTTGGCAAAATGCTGCCCCAGATTGACATCCTTGGACTGGAGTCAGGGGATTTCTGAGAAGAGACACAACTCTAAGTGTCTGTGCAAACATGTCACAGGGCCTCAAACTCACCCAGTTCACCAGACTCCTTGCCTGCCTTGGCTGGTCATTTATAGAGGACAGCCAGGGTCTCCAAAGATAAGCTCCTCTGTGATAAAGAAAAGAGATAAATTGGTACAAGACCTAAACACAGACTTCCTGTGATCACAGAAGTGACCTTCTGAAAGTTTGGCTCACTGAAAGGATTTGCAACCCCATGAGGAGAGCAACAATACCAACCAACCAGAGCTCCCAGGGTCTAAACCACCAGCCTGGGAGCACACATGGAGGGATCCATGGCTCCAGCTGTATATGTAGGGGAGGATGGCCTTGTTGGGCATATGTGGGAGAGGAGGTCCTTGGTCCCATGAAGGCTAGATGCCTCAGTATGGAGGAATTTGAGGGTGAGAGGGTGAGTGAGGGCACATCCTCATTAGAAGCAGGAAGAGGGGGGATGGGATAGGAGGTTCTGGGTGGGGGGGAATGGGATAAGGGGATAACATCTGAAATGTAAATAAAATATCCAAAAAAATTTAAAAAAAAAAAAAGAAAGAAAGTTTCGTTCACAAGCCATGTGCTCCAGGATACCTTCTGTCCCCTGACAACTGAGCCATGGCTGTGACAGATACCCCTCCTCTCTGCTCCAACAATGTTATCGCTGCTCTTAGCGACTGTTTTGTCGTTGTCTGCCTGAGCCCATTTATGCCGAAAGCTATGTATGAGTATATCTGAACTCTTGACTCCTAGTACAATGTCTTGTGCGAGGAGGGGTTTGCGCAAACGTTTGTTGAATGTGAACATGAACTGTTTGGGAGAGAGAATGCTAGTTGTATAAGGAGTATCATCTATCTTCCTGCCTACTTCTGATATCAAATAATTGAGAACAGAACCCTGCCATCTTCCTAGTTGGAGAAAGGGTCTCAAATACTCCTGAGCCAGTTGCCTCTCCTTTAGACTCCCAGAGACAAGGAAAAGCAAATGTGACATGCTCAGGACAGAGGCAGCACCCCAATCAAAGGCCTCTTTAGACTTTGGTCCTTTCTTTCTATGTCACCTGCCACCATCTAGGTCCCATAGTCCAGGTTGCATTAAGCCTATCTTCCACAGTAGCCTCTCCTGTTCCCTCAGTGAATTGTATGAACTACCCCAAGAAGGTCAGGCCACTTGTCTTTCAGTTTGGCAATGCCCACTTTCTCTCAGTCCCCTTCCAATACCTGGAGTAATGAGTGAGGGGAAATATTTCCAGCCAAAGGTATAGAGAGAGGGCTGAGGCTCTCTGTTGTTCTTCCCCTTCAAGGAGAACAGGGCCACCACCACCGTGGGTGTCACACCTTCTCTTGCCCTCAGCTCCCTCAGCCTGAGTCACACTGTCAAAGGCCAAGTTCTACTTACCGTTCATTCCCAGCACCTTCTTGTCCATTGATTTGTGCTAGGGCAGGGGCTTGGGCCAGGGCCTGGTCAAGGGGGGCAGCAGCAGGGGCAGCAGCAGGGGCCACAGCAGGGGCTTCAGCAGGGGCAGCAGCAGGGGCCACAAGAGGGGCTGCAGCAGGGGCAGCAGCAGGGGCAGCAGGGTCCATCCTTGGGACACCAAGCCAGACAGCTCTTCCAGTTCTCAGAACCTTCAGCACTCTTTTGGCTTTTCCCCTAGAGACCCTTTTATAAGCCCTGCCTTGAGTCATCAATTATTCAGACAATGCAAGGATGGGGGATGCAGGATGCTGGTAAAGATCTAGGGAGGGGGATCCTGGAGCAGAGAGCTGTGTTCTTGGGTGTGAAATCTCTCCCAGTTGAGTAAACAGGGTCAGGGATGGAGGTGAGGGGTCTGCTATAGTTCCAAGTCAGTAAGGAAAACAAAGAAGGGGCAAATTTCACACCATTTGTGTGAGTTCTCCAGGCAGGATCAGGACCCAAGGTGGGAAGGAGGGGCTCCCATTAGTACTCAAAAGCACCCAGGCTTGTCTAGGACAGAAGGCTGAAAACACGGACCTTTAACAAAGCTGGTTCCCTGTGAGAAAAGAAGAGGGACTCACCAGCTACTTCAGTTCAAATCCCAAGGAGATTTGCCTGGTGGACCCCCGATACAGGGTCACTGCTATGAAGCATGTCACATGGCTTAGGATAAAGAAAGATTCTGGGTGGAGCAGGTCCAGTCTCCTGCAGGGTAAACCTCAAGTTATCTTTCAATGCCCTCCTCACCCCTTTCACTGCTCAGTTGACTTGCAAAAGTGCCTAAAGCCCCCTCAGCCTCCGCAGAGAGTGGTGTGGTGTGGGGAGCAGAGCGGGCCCAGGGAGTTTGCAGGGCAGATTCCAAATGGTACAGCTCAGTTTCTAGTTTAGGAGCCCAGGTGCTGGAGGCTGAGAGGGTTCTGCCCAGCACTGGGTTGCCAAAGGACCATCCCAGGCCTCATCTCACGTGAGATGAGGGTGCTGGCTCAGTGGTCTCCAAGGCCCTGCCAACCTGAACACTCTGTGACAAGAGCTGGGTAATGGGTTGTGACCCTTGAGAGCCAAAAGGTTTGAGCAGAGTCCTTGGCATTAGCCAGCTTTTGAGCCTTTGCCAAAACGCTTCCAGTTACAACAACTGGCAGGCATTTCATGCTTAGAGGTTTCAAAAATATTCCTCCTGACCTCAGTGGCCAGCACCTGCCCAGATTTAGTGTCTTGGATATTCATCACAGCCCAGCTTGTAATGGTCAGAAATTAGAAACAACCTCAGTGTCCAATAATACGAAACTCGTTAGATTTATTAATTGTGGCTAATCTTGTAATCACATACTCAGCAGACAGTCGAAATCATGTTATCAGTGAAAAACTTGGGAAAGCTAGATGCTAGTTGCTGTAACCAATTTTATCCAACGGCTTCTTATCAAGACCCCACTGACCACCACTCTGCTTGACTTCTGCCCTTACTCTGATCTGTACAGCAAAGAAAAAAAAAAAGAAGGAAAGACAGAACTAAAGATCTGGCTCTGTGGTAGAGCAAATACACAGCGGGGTTTAACCCCTATTCCCAGAAAGACAAAAATGAAAACAACGACTTCATATCAAAATTGTTCTAGTGGAAGAATTCGTAAACAGCCAATGTGTTCAAGAGCAAAAACACATCGTAAGTTTCGAAAATATCCCTTAGGATAATCCCTTGTGATAAGGGAAAAATGTGGAATGTACAGAATGCACAGGAAAAAAAAAGGCTAGTTAGAAGAAAGGATGTTGCAATTGTCAGCTCTGGGAGTAAGAGAGTGTGGTGGAGTTTCACCTCCTTTATGATTTTATGATGTTTTGAAACAATTTCTACACCTGAGTCGATATTATTTGGTAAATAAAAGGTAAAAATAAATGAGACTACAAAGCCGAGTGCGTATGGACGTGGGGCCAGTCTGGAGGGGTTGGTGAAAACAGGCTGCGTAACTTCTCAGTAAAAACATTGCATTTATGTTTTCGTAACATATGTTTATCCACTGACCAGCATTTTTTTTCTGTGCATACTGTACATTCCACATTTTTTCCTTATCAAAAATGGGATTATCCTAAGTGATATTTCTGAAATGTATGCTTTTCAATTTTGAAGACATGCTCAAATATATATTGAATACATATTCAAAGAATATATATTGAAAACAGTATGTATTATCTGTTTTAGCTGATGAATAAAGTTGTATATACAAAACATTTATCCATGAAACAAGAAATTTCTTGGGGGGGGGGATGGCAGCCATTTTGAAATTCCTGAGGATTGGACCACAATGAATTATACTTGTCCTGTGTGCCTTCAAAGACAGAGGGAGGCCCATGGATAGGAGCTAAAGGAAGACTCCTTTTGGCTGAATCTAAGGAAATGTATCTAACAATTCAACCACCTAAGGGCCTGGCAGTGTACCTGTCATCCACAAACAGAGGTTTATTATATGAAGTGAAATGAGTCCTGTGGGATGCACTACCTGGGACTGGGCTAAGCTCTCTGATGCTGAATTTTTAAGTTGGATCTAAGATAGGAATCCTGTGGAAATTTGCTAAAAGGAGGGGTGAGACCGAGAGAAGGAAGGAATAAAGCCCAAAAGACTGGACTAAAAAGAGACAGCATACAAATCGGAGAGAACCCAAGACATATTGTCACACCCTGGAATCTTTTTGACTTCTCTCTAGGTGACCTCTGACAATCCAAAAGAGGTGAGAGGGAGAGGGTGCAGCACATATTTCTCTGGAGGTCCCAGGTCATTCTCAACCTGACTTAGTTATATCACCCACCATGCCACTTTTGATCTTAAAACTTGAATTCCTTCAGCTACGCCCTTCCTTCCTCAAAGCAGGCTTCATGGATTGCCTTATTCTCAGCAGCCAGTGTGCTCTCCTAACTCCCAGGGAGCTTTCTGTCTGTCTCCATCTATCTCCACAAGTGGACACCTGCTCTGACTGCTGCCTCATGAGACTCAGCTTAGTGTCACCCAGTCACAGAGAAGACAGAGGCACTGGTCCCAGTTGTTGGATCAGAGGCCTGTTGCTGAACCAAGCAAGATATCAGAGCCTGACTGCTCTCTCTTGAAGTTAGTATGGAACAGGTGGTCAAAATGGTGGCACAAAAGATCAGGCTAAGCCAAAGAGGACAACTGCTAATAAAGGCAATGACACTTTTTTCTCTATCAACTATAGTGTGCAGGCTTTTGTCAGTTTTGGTTCCTCAGACTTTTCTGAGAGGAATACTTACATTCTCTGGGCCCAACACTTTGTTAAGCATTGCTTGGCAAAGAGAGTGGCTAGAAAGAGGAAGGTGTTGTGGCTTCTGCCCCAAAGGGCTCACGGCTTTGAGGGTAGAGGAAAACCAATTAGCCTCTGCCAAACCGGAACCATTCCACCAACTTCAGACTGGTTCCCTTGTCAAGGCCTCAGAGCAGCCTCCAAGTGTCTCTGGGCCTCATTCCAAATTTCCTTCAGCAACCTACCATGTTCCTGCCCCACCCTTCTCCCTGCTCAGAACCACGTCTCCTCCTACTTCCCTGAGAAAACAGAGGCCTTCAAGCATGGATTACCTCAGTGCCCTGCCCCAACCCCCAAAACTGACTTGCCTCTCCAAAGTCCTTCCCTCCCTCCACCCTGCCCTAACAGGGGACAAGGTGCCTCTTTTGTTAAAGGCTAATCCCTTCTCTCCTGAGCCTTGGCCTCATCCACCCTCCTCTGTGCCATCCCTACAGGGAAACCCAGCTTCCCTACATCAGAGTATTAACCACTTGTTTTTGTGACTCCCTAAAACAAGGGACATCCCCCTCACAAGTCTTCTTACTCCCCTAATACACTCTCTTCATCTCTTTCCCTCCCCACCTCCTTGCCATGCTCTGTTCTTTCCCTCCCTCTCAAGTCTGCTGAAAGTCAAACCTCACTTCTAGACTCGGCTTTCCTCAGCTTCCCATTCACACCTCAGCCAATGGTAATTTGGCTCCAGTCCCATCATCTCTGTGAAAAGTCACTGACAAAGGTCACCAATGACCTCCTAATTGCCAAATTCAGTGAACTCTCTGAACTGTAGGTCCTCTTTCTAGTCCATCCCCTTGCTAGGCAATGCCCAGCAATAGACAGTGTTGGTCAAGGGCTAAGGTTTCAAATCCATCTTCCTCTTTTGGCCTCCATGATACTCCTCTTTTTTCTTTCTCTCCTTTCCTATCTCTCTTCCTCTCCACCATCTCTCTCCTGGGGATTGAATCTCACAGTTTCTTCTTCTTCTTACTATTATTATTATTATTATTGCTGTTGTCATCATTGTCACCATCATCATATCATCAACAACAGCATCATCATTATTATTTTGAGTCAGGTCTCTGTGGCCTATACAGGTCTGGAACTCAGAGTCCTTCTGCTTCCATTTCCTGCTGAGATCCAGGCATGCTCTACCAGGCCTGGCTCAGGATCTTTGAAGCTGACCTCTCTTCTGTTGCTCATTTCTTCACTCAGTGAGCCTCAGTTCCAGATGATACACTGATGTTTTTAATGAATCACAGTGAAATGAGAGAAACTTTACTAGGAGAATTTTCCGACGATTTCAATTTATTGAATTCTAAACAACTGTCCTTCATTCTGAGATTCTGTCCTTCCTAGTTTGGAGTGATGAAATGATCTCATTTTCAAAGTGAAGGCGATGGTCAATACTAGTGTATTTCTTTAATGTCCCCACTTGGTAAAATGAGATGTTAATTTCTTAGTGTTGCTCTCATAAGATTTTATTGAATGGGTGAAAGAACAAGAGTTATGTTTCCAGCCTGGGATTGTCCCAGTGGGCATCTCATATTCATTCCAAAGTTGAAGGATTCTTCTCCCCCAACAAACCTCCTGTGTTCCCACCTCAAAGTCAGCGTCATATTGAACCAGTCACTCGATCTAAAATCCCCCACCTCTGTGTGCTGTCAATTTTACTTTTTTGCTGTCCTTCACGTTGCCTCCTCCAGTCTATCCGTGTCCATGCTCCCACTCATTGAATGATGCCTCCCTCTGTCTGCTCTCACCTGGACCTTGGGTTGCTATAAAAGCTGCTGGTTTTTGCGTAGTTGAAATTTGCTATTTGATGTTAGGCTAATACATTCCTAAATAAATG